AAGCTTCTCCCGTGGGTCTTTAGAAATAAGACGCAGAATGATGGGGCGATGGTTTGGCTTCTCTCTCTTCAGGCTTTTGCACTTGCTTCCCATTGGAATTCGTCTCTCAGCTGGCTCTCAGCTGTTAAGGAGCTGCTTGCCAAATGCTATGTTTTGGTCAAAGATTAAAGAAGAGAGATCGGAGAAGCTGAACTGAGCGTGTATCCACCATCCAACAGATACTACAAATTTGCTTTGAAACTTATGTGCTGAGATGTTTGCCTCAGAATTACAAAATCCCATAAAAATCTTGCCTGGATATTATAACTTGGAACCTTCCCAAAGTGCCCAGAGCAGTATTTTGTTCCTAGACCATTCGGTGACATGGTTTTACTGCAATAAATACATCATCAGAATGCTCGAGCAGGTTTTCTTGTCGCTGCAGAGTAACTGCTTCCCAGAATCTTCCTTTTGTGTTCCCCTCTGCTGTGAAGTAGAGGGCATGTGGCTTCGTGCGCAGCTGTGACATTTTAAAACCTCTTTCCAAAGGGTGGATGTTGCCTTGAGAACTATGTCCTGTTCGGTGGGAAGGAGCCTTTTATGTTTTCATATAATCATTTCTTCGGCAAAAGTATGTTCATAGAAACTGACCTCACAGCTTGTTTTTTAAAAATGGCTTTTGGCTGCTGTTTTTTTTTTTTTTTTTCTCTCCTCCCATGTCAGCTGCTGGAAAGTTAAATCAGCATTTGATAGAAACTGTAGTTTGATATGCAGTAGGTCTGGGTGTCATAATCTTGATTAGCATCAACAGACATTTACTAGGAGTGCTTGAGTGAGGGGCAGGCCTGGGCACCCTGGGTGTGAGCCCTAGTTCCACCGCTTCCTGTGGGACATTGGGCAAGTTGTTTCGCCACTGTAAGTCACGCTTTCTTCCTCTGTAAAATGGAATTCACCTTTATGTCCCAGGATGACGAAGAGTAAAGGAGATGATCTGTATAAAAGGCCTACGCAGTACCCAGCACACAGTAGTCCCTGTTCTGTTCTGTGATTATGTGGGTGATGATGATGACAGCTGATACTTAAATAACACTGTTAATGTTCTGTTCTAACTGGTTACAGCTGTTAACTTACTGAATCCTCCGACAGGCCTATAAAGTAGGTGCTATTATTATGCCCATTTTATAGATGAAGAAACAGAGAGGTTAAGTGAGTTGGCCCAAAGTCTTACAGCCAAGTTGCTCAGCCAGGACTAGACAGAGGCAATCTGGCCCCAAGTTCATGCCCTTAATCACCAGACTATATTGCTTCTCATATATACCCTGCCTCTCATTATGTAGTATAACCTCAAGTTATCAATCTGGCCTTTTTGGGGGAAAACATGTGAAATAGTCTTTGTCTGTGAAATCTCTTATCCAGTGTTTGGGCAAGAATTAGGAGAGAAATTGAGGTTTGTAATAGGCAGTTTTCCATTTGGGTCTAGACATCAAGTCTCATCCACAGCTTAACTACCCTACCTTCCCCAAAGGTAAGACCCATCCGTCCTTTGCTAAGTTCAGAAGTGGGTTTCTAAGTTGTTCCTTAGCTTTTACGGAAGATCACAGAGTACCCAGAGCAGAAGATGATGCTCAGAATTTTACTTACTTAAAAAGCTGGGCAAACATAGATATATTCTTCAGGAAAGGTGGAAAGAGTCTTCCTGGATGAATGGAAAGGGAAGGTGATCCTGTCTTCATAAGGAACCAGAAAACAGTCATAATGTGTGTGGGTTTCATTAAAATAAATTATTTCAGATCATTTATTGTAGAAATGAATATATAGGAATCACAAGTTATGTAATTTAGAGCCCAAATGAATCCACAAATCTACAAAAATATATACTTACAGTATAAACTATGGCCTCTTTATAATTGATCAGTAATTTATAGTTTGCAAGAGGAAGAAAGCTTCAAAATACACAGGCTTTAGAGCCAGAGACCCTTGGGTTTCATTTCCCCCTGCTTCCTCCCTGTGAGATGTTAGACAACTTGCTTCACGCTGCCAACCTTCAGGGTCCCAGCCTGTCAAGTGGGGATAATAATATATGCCCCTCAGAGCTGCTGTGGGGATTCGGTCAGGTAACATACACAGTATGTTGGCATGTAATGCAGTAAATGAGAGTCATCATCATCCTAGGCTTTGAGGGGAAAGCCCTAAATCTACCTTATGAAACAAACTATTTTAGTAGAAATGTCTGCAAGACCCAAGAAACAAGAAGGTAAGCATGGAATGATGGCATTTATGGCTTTGAGAGTGGTACAGGGACTGTGTCTGGGGATAAGGGACCCTTCCTGGTACTCCCTGCCTCCCCTAGTTTCCCTCATCCACGTTTCTCAGGCAGCTACAGAGACCAGAAGGAAAACATGCAAAGGAGACCAGTGTGAAGTACACTCTGGTGGAGCCAGGCCTTGGCTCCCAGAATCAGGAAAGGCTAGCTTACTTACTATCCAGTGGCCAGGTAGGTAAACAGCTCTGGAAGCCCCAAACCCTAATCACTGCTCAAAGAGTGAGCATGCCAGGTTGCAGGGTTGCTTAAAATGAAAATAACATGAACAGGTAATGTCTTGTTTTGATTAAATTATTGCGTATGAAAGACCCACTGGAGAGGCCACAGTGTGTGGTAATTAAAGTATCCTTAGAAAAAGTGGCATAGTAAGAAATTGGAGGACTTGTAAATACATAGGATTTTTTTTAGTGGAGGTACTGAGGATTGAACCTAGGACCTCATGCATGCCAAGCATGCACTCTACCACTGAGCTATACCCACACCCATAAGATATTTTTTAAATTGTAAAAGTAGCCTTTATTTAAATAATTATAGGAAGTTTGAAAAATACAAGAAAACACTAAGGAAAAATAAAAACATTCATTACCCCACTATCCAGTGTAACCACTATTCACATTTTGAAATGACCTTCCAGTCTTCCCTGCACCCCCCCATGCTTTACATATATTTTTCATATCAATCATCTTGTACACATTGTGTTATGATTTACTGTTTTCATAAAATATGTTTTATGAAATCAAATACTTTTACAACATCACTCTTATTACCTTTATGGTATTTTACAATATTTTGTTCAGTCAGTCTCCCTGCTGTTGGATATGGCTTGTTCCCAAATTTTGGCTGTCATTAAAAAATGATTTACTGTAGCTACATTTTGTTCCCAGATTTCACTGTAAATTCATAGGAGTGGATGTGAATACACTATGTTGTTGGGAGATACTTGGGGTGGGACAGTTGGAGAGTAACTGGCCAGTGTTTTAGAAAGCAGCTCTCTGGGTTCAGGGTTGGCTCTCTTCCCTCTAATGGGCTGAAGCAGCCCCCAGCTGTGAAAGGTGGGTGTTAGGGAGGGGGAAGGGGGGAAAGGAGAGGGCACATAGGAATTTCTCACCAGCTAAGTCTTTTTAAAGTTCAGCTGGGCATGACTTTTCTGTGATTACTTCCGCCAGTGAATGTGAAAGCATCCAGTGATGAGCAGCAAACATGCTTGGTAATTGACAGATGTTGGCACCGACAGGTGGTGGGTAGTGGAGACTAAGAATCATCTATTTCCATACCTTTATTTGCTTAATAGTTTTGAAATTAAAGTGAAACTATATATAGTGTTGAAATATAATACTTTCTTGACCTGAAGACTGAATATTAGAGTTTCTAAGAATTGTGTAAATGTCTGAGGATGTATTTCTTTAAATAGTCGTGTGTGTCTCAAGCATTGTTAGTGAAGGTTTAAAAGCTGTAAGTAGTGTAAACAGGACTTGGATGTATGTAAGAACTCTGACAATTGGCAGAAATGCTAAAGAAATACCAATTAGAGAAAAAATCAAATATACCATGAAACTGAACTGAAAGTCTACAGTGCTGCAGATGAACATAGAACATGGGAGAGGAGAATGGCTTGAGATGAGTGAAATGCCTCAGGCTGATGGAGGAGAAGTGTTGGGTATGCATAATCAACAAGTTGACAACAGCGGAGGAATGTATCTAAAAACACACGTTGTGCCCAGGAGCCCCGCAAGGCCTCTGATGCTTCCTCAGATCTCTTGCACCTCTCCCTATCTGACCAAACACGCCTTTCATAGTCAAAATAGTAAGACCGTTTCTTACACCTCTAATCTTTCCAATATCCATTAGCAAGAAGAGCAGTCTTGAATCTGATTGTTGGACCCATTAAGTGTTATCTAAGAAGAATAAGATTGTCATTTGGCTTGACAAAGAAATACGTGAATAAATGTATAAAATGCTGCAGTGTTTAAGATCCGCCAGGCTCCTTTGTGATGCAGGGCAGCGAATATTCCTGGTTTTCGGTGTTATTGAACCTGTGCCTCTTGTGTTTTCGTAAACGTTTTTGTTTCAGCAAAAAAACAAATCAGCAACCACTGTCCTTTTGTCATCATAACCCAAAAACCTGAAAAAATTTTTTTAACCCCACCTGCCTTTTAAAAATTTTTTTGAATTTTTGGACTGTCATCATATTAGAGTTCTAAACATACCTTATTCCTGCTTATAATTGATTGTTCATGATCACATAATAATTATTAATAATGAATACTTTTGTTAGAGTGCCTCCTATGAGGCAGGGGCATTACTAAGTATTTTTCCTATATCATCTCTGATCTTCACAATAATCCTTCAAGCTATAATTATTCCCACGTTAGGTATTAGGAAACAGATTCAGAGAGGGTAGGTTACCTGCTCATATCTGGGAAACCGTTGTAGCCACATTGTGACTCCAGGTTGGTCTGACTCAAAAGCCGTCTACCTCTCATCTTGTTTTGGGGAGACTCGAGCAAAAATAGACCTGATAATGGAACAGACAATTGTGTGAAACCTTGTGGGGGAAAAAAACCCCCAGACTCTTCCATCTTGGTTAGCTAGACCCTCAAACAGACTTCTGTGTTTTCCTAATGCTTTATCAGCTTTTTCAATGTTAAATTCACTGTTTCAGACTGCCTCCCCTCCTCCTGCCCCTTTGATCTTCCAGGCCCTCAGTACCGCCTGGAGAAGCAGAGCGAGCCCAATGTCGCCGTGGACCTGGAGAGCACTTTGGAGAGCCAGAGCGCATGGGAGTTCTGCCTGGTCCGCGAGAACAGTACGTTGGCCTCCTCGCTCCATGCTTGCTTTGTCCCTTGCAGCTTGCTCAGAAGTCCTGTGTTTGGGAACACTCACTGGTCTGCCTCGCTAGACACATTTGAAGTGGCTCTTTTGGCACGAAGGCTGAGATCTGCCTTGGAAAACAGTGTATCCCAAAGTGAAATGATTGATTTCACCATTTTTGGTAAAGCGCCTGTATCCTGTTTAGCACTCTGTGATTAATATTTATCTGTTAAACTGTATCTTCCTATCTTAGGAACAGTCCTGGAAATAGCTTAGAAATATGAGGCCTTTTCTGTGGCAAAGGCTATTTTGTATATAAAGCAACTGGCTCTGTCAGTATCACTGTTCAGTCATCAAGTTTTAGAAAATTCCAACCATTTTTGTAATCTTAGCAGGAGGCAGGATAGTGGCTCCTAGTGCTGTGTAGAAAGCCTCTTTAAAACTTCAGTTAATTCCTTTCATTCTCTCTCTAGAGCTTCTTTCTTGTGAATTTTGGCCATTCCTCTCCTCTGTACCCCCATTGACTTAAGGGGCAAGTGACATGTGAAAACTGTGATCGTAATAGCCAGCTCACCATCATTCCTCACCATCAGGGCCTTTACACAGGCTGTTTGTTCTGTGTAGAACACTTTCCGTCACTCTGGTTAGCTTTCTCATCCTTCTTCTCAGTTTAAACGTCACCTTGATGGAGGCCGCCTGTGGTCTGCCTGTCCCCCCACTGCCTAAACCTGGTCTGTCCCTCATTTGGGTCCCCTCTTATATTCCATCATAGAGCATGCTACTTTTTCTTCATTGCATATATTTCTGTTTATAATTATTTATTTTTCTCAATGATGATTTGATGTCTCTCTCTCTCCCACTAGATTATCAAGTCTTTGAGGGTGTCCCTGACCCACACCATTAATTCAGCAAATATTCACTCATTACCCACTGTAGGCTATGCCCTGCATATAGGAACTCTGCAGTGGATTCCATTTCAAAATGTTCACTCCTTGTTATGTGAATAAGATAAAATGTTATATATTAGGGTCTTGGTATATATTTTTGATATGTAACACTTATACATGTAAAAAAAATTTTGGATAACAAAGCATCTATAGTGAAAACTTTTAGCCTCTCTTCTCTCCCCTAATTCATCTCCCAGAGACAACAGTCGTTCTCAGTTTCTTTGGTATCTTTTCAGGGATCATCTAAGCATATGCAGGCATATTCTGTATATGTACATGAATATACTCACACATAGACGTATGTATATACACATACACATGCACACAAACGTATTCCCCCCTTTTAAAAACAAATGGTAGCAAACTATCATCAGTGTTCTTCATTTTTCTTTTATCATTTTAACAACATGTCACATAGAGATTATTACATATTCCACATTAATCCATATATTATTCCACATATAGTGTACCTCTCTTTTTAACTGCTGCATAGTATTCCACGGTATACAGTGATTGAATATTGTGTTTTAGGTTTGTTTTGGGGTTTGTTTGTTTTTTTAAGATGAGGCCAACTTTCTTATACAAGGAAAGAGAAGCTATGAGAATTAGTGGATAAAGCTTCAAAATCTTAAGTTCTCATTCCTAAGTATGAGCACAGTATTAATTAGGTTGTGCGACCTCTGTGAGCCTCAGCATCCTCATCTCAAAGGATTTGGAATACGCTTTCAGTACTTGCCTTTGAGTCAAAATCACTTTGTTAGTGAAAAAAGCCCATACCAGCATTTACAAAGTGTGCCAGGCAGTCAGTGATTTGGGATCAATAGAATATTATAACTAGTCTTTGTAAAATTGAAATAAATTATAAAAATAAATATATTTATAGAGAAGTTTTTTTTAATTTTTAGTAGGAATTTCAATCAAACCAATTATTGTTCTCCAATAGCTACCTATTAAGAAGTTGGATTGAGACAAAGAAAAATATTTCAAAAATAGAATTTTTTTTACTTCTGTTGGTATATTTGATCAGGACAGGCTTGCTATTCTTAAAGCCATTTTAGAAGTGAACTAAATTAAAAGTATCTATTATTCAGTGTTTAAGAGAATACACTATCAAGCCAGGCTGCCTCAGTTCACATTCGGGCCCTGCCGCTTACTGGCTGTGTGACCTTGGACAATTTACTTAACCTCTCATTTGCCTTCATAAGGTTGATAGGATTCAGTGAGTTTTAATCATAAAGCTCTTAGAATAGTGCCTGGCACATAATAAACACTCAATATTTATAAACTGTAATTAATAAATAGTGAGAGAGCAGCATTCTGTGGCTCATGGAGCAGATGAGACAGGGTTGTAGGGGTCCGGAGTAAGAGAACAGTCAGGGCCCTTGAGGAGGTATGTGATGGGGGAGGAAGTGAGAGAGAATGGAGGGGAAAGGAGAGTCGGGGCCAGGGCAAATCTGTAAGTCTTGGTCATAGGACCAGAGAACTTGCAAGCAGAATACTTTCCAGCAAATGTGCTTTGGTGTCCCAGAAGAAATGTGTACCTCGTAAGTAAAACCATTTGATGGAGAACACTGCCGTAAGAATGGATATAAGCCTTCCAGTTTTTCTTCCACAGAGTGGCAGGGCATATCTTTTTTTTTACCAGCTACATCAGAAGATTTTTTTTTTTTTCATTCAGGCCTTCTGTTGTAAGTCACCGTGCTAAACATTTTCCTCTCTCTCATAATTTTCCCAATCACCTTATAAAATTCTATTTTGATTGTGGAGAGAGGTTCCTTACCCCAAGTCAGTAAGTGACAGGACCAGAATTCTAAGTCAGCTATGTGATTCTAAAGCCTACCCTGAGATTATTGATTTAAAAAAATACCCTAAGTTTTCAGTCCTAAGAAGGGTGATAACAATTGTCTTTATACACTATGAGAGAAAAGCTTGCAAATGAGGCTAGTATGACAAGAGTTTCTGCGTAGGGACTGAGATGTAACATTTGTGCTTGGATCTTGGCCTAAATAAGAAAATGACAAGCCAAAGTCCTTGAGCTCTCCAGTTTGGATTCTTGTCTGATAATCTACCACATCCTTCAACCAACCGTCTGCTAGAAGCTGGAATCTGACCAGAGGAAACACGAGCACATTATGGAGAGGATTAGAAGACTTCCATTCTTGTCCGAGCATCTGTATAAACCCTGGCACCAAACTGAACCTCGGTTGCCTTTTCTGCCAAATGTTGCCAGTGACCTTTTCCCTTACCCTCTGATCATATGTAGGTAGCCCATCCCGGCCCTTAGAAGAAAGATGCAGCATGAACCAACCTACTGTTTCCACAGCTTTAAGCGAGAAACTTGGGAATTTCCCATTGTCGGGGCTAAAATAAGCCTGAAAATAAGTCGGCTTTATGGAGTACTAAAAAGTGTCAGAAACCGTGTCTTTCCTATTTAGTCACCCACTAGTCTGCCCACATCGTCTTTCACATAGTGCTTAAAGCCCCGTCTTTAGAATGAGACAGACCTCAGGTGAGCCACGGCAGCCTCTGACATTGGACAGATCACATCACCTCTCTGAGCCTGTTTCCTGTGTCAGTGGAGGTGGTTGAATCTACTTCACAAGGTTTTTGTGGGGATTAAATGAGATAGAGATGCTGTTGTTATTAGGCTAGTGTGGTCATAATCCTTATTTTATAGTAGAAGAAATTGACTCTCTAAGGGGTGATTTGCTCATGGTCACATAGATAATAATTGCGGGGCCTAGAAAATATGTCTTCTGTCCATTCAGTCTAGTGAAAGAATGGAATCTATTTTTATTACGTAAATAGAAGTTGCTATAGAAAGAGGATTCAGCTGTTCTTTAAACATCAGTTCTACTTCTTTTGATCTCCTTTCTTTTTCAAGGAGACCTTCCATTATTTCAGTACCTCATTGAAATGTCCTTAATTTAAGGCTGTAGTGAGGAAGAACTTCAACATAAGATGGGCAGCCACCCAGAGAAGTGGACTGTGGCAAGGGGGCACGTCTCTGGGTCTGTCTGTGGGAGCCCTCTTTCATGTCCTTTAGTTTCCCCTTGAAGACCCAGTAGAGGAGGCAACTCCTTCTAAAGCTCCCCAGACCACCTGGCTGCCGTTCCCTGGGCTCAGATAGAGTCCTTCTCCCTACCCTCTCTGATCACTGATTCTACTAGATGTATTTGCCCTCTTCCACACTGAACTGGACCCAACCCCTGCCCACTAAGGGGGCAGGGGTTGGGTCTGAATCCCCCCTACCTCCCAGTACCTGTGGCCAGGTGTGGCTCCTTCCCCTGGAGGGAGTGAGCCTCCTGAATCCCTGCGTCCCCAGCCTTCTCACTAGGGCTTCGAGGGGCTAGTATGTGATGGCTTTTAGACAGAACTTGGGTTTGGAGTGAGCATCTTTATGTATAAGGGTTTCTCGTAGTGGTACTTGGGATTCCCCTGACCCTCAGCACCACCATCAATATCATTAAATAAACAAGCAACCATAGACAGCGGATGACTCGTATCCTGGTGTGTTTCCAGCTCCTCTTTATGTGCTTATTCATGGTGGGCTGATCCCTCCTCCCGTGTGTGCTCTGTGCCAGCCTTGGAGACTCCCTGCTGGCTCTCCTTGGCTTCTGGAGGTTTTGCCTTCTTCATTTACAAATTACTAATCTCTCCAGTTTCTATCGTGTGACTTAAGTACCAGGGCTTTAAGCCTCTTTTATTATACCCCAAAAGCAGTCTTCAAATGCAGAAGAAAATGTGATCGTGCAAGGAAACTCTATTTACAAATGGATATGACTTGCAGTGTTCGTGGTATATATTTTAGGTTGAATTACTGCTGAAAGCCAGTTACGTGTCTGGCTTTGGTGGGGGAAGAGGGTTCACTTTGGTGGGTGAGAGTTTTTTTTCAAGTAAATACTGGATAATAGCTCCCTGCTTGCTGCATGCTAACAGAATTTAAATGGAACAGAAACATTATCCCTGATGCCAGAATACCTGTGTGTCTCCTCCTTTTGCAGTTGCAGCCTGGTTCATGTGGGCTGGTTGGCAGTGTAGCGTGTAT